CAGAACTTTCCCTCTCTCTCTCTCTCCCTCTCCCCAACCCCTCCACGGATTATTATTATTATTATTATTGTTTTTAATTAATCACTTTCGATAAGCATTTATTTATTTATTTATTTTTTTTCTAATGGAAAAAATTTTTCTCTCTCTCTCTCTCAAAAAAAAAAAAAAACCGGTAGGTAATACTTTAATACCAACTTAATAAATACCAGGCACGTGTGTGGAAATGGAAATTTTTTTTATTTATAATTACGATGCAGTTTTCCAATTCCTTTTTTTTTTTTTTTTTATTAATAATATATATTTATGACGTTCAAATTTTAATTGTACTTTGTATTTATACATATCCGTTTAGGCTTATATCATATCTTCATCATGTAGCTTTTAGTAATTTTTCTCGTGTGATTCATTTGTCCTTTACTTTTCCTTTTTTTTTGAATAAACAAACCAAAATCCTTTGACATTTTGCCTTCTTTTTTTTCCCCCACATGAAAACATGTAATAATTTTTTTTTCCCCTCCTCCTCCCTCCCCTTTTTTTAATTCCATTTAATTAATTTCATTTTAATTATGACACGACCTCATTTCGTCGTGACCCCTCTTGTACTAAATTCATATTCTATTTATTAATTATTAAAATAATTCACATAATATTCATTATTTTCGTTTCAGATATATCTTTGTGAATTATTATTATTATTATTACTATTTTTTTGAAGAAAAAATGAATTTAGAATTTTCTGATGTTATTTACAAAGTGAAAAGAAGATGGAGAGACAAAGGTAAGAATTTTTTTAATGTTTTTTTGTTTTCTTTCCTCCCCCCTCCCCCCCCGTAAATTTTTATAATTACGAGTGCGTGTATGTTTATATATAAATATATATCAAACACTAAAAAAAAAACTCAATAAACAATATTGTCAAACATGGAATATTTGTAAACAAACAAAACAATCGGTTGTAAGTGGAATTTAATAATGTAAACGCGCGTGTAAGAAGACAAACAAACAAACAAACAAACAAACGAAAAAAAAAAAGGCGATCTGATCAAAACAAACCGGTGAACCTACGTCGAGCAAGCAAAAAAAAAAAAAACAAACAACAAGTTGAAGGTTGAAATTTGTTTTTTTTTTTTTTATGCCATTTTTCTTAAATAAAAACCAATTTAAAATAGTCACGTGATGTGAATATTATATTAATTCTTTTCCCTTTATATTTTTTTTGCCCTTTTCAAAATGTCTTCCTTGTTACTCTTCTTTGTTGTTCCATTTTTTCATTTATTATGATTAACAATTTCGTTTTGACCTTGCTCAATTTCCAGATATATTTATTATACATATTTTCATAATAATAATAATAATAATAATATAATTTTACCCCGACTTTCGTGAAAACTTTGGCATCACGTGACGACAACGACGACGACGACCATCTTAAACATTTTTACAAAAAAAAAAAAAATTTTATGTAGATAAATCAATCAATCAATCAATTTTTTTTTTTCTCCAGAAAGCAGAACAATTTTACATGGAGTTAGTGGTAGTTTTAGAGCTGGACAATTATCTGCTATTTTAGGCCCATCTGGAGCTGGAAAAAGTACCCTTTTAAATATTTTATCCGGGTTCAGGTAAACATAAAAAATGTTGATTCGCTTTCAGTTCTTAAACATTATCCAACTCTGTTTGAAATGACATTTTTTTTTTTGCAGCATGGAAGGTGTCAAAGGTGAATTTAAAGTTAACGGTCAACCGTTAAATAAAAAATTATTTCATAAATCATCGAGATACATAACGCAAGAAGATTTACTTCCGCCTTTTCTAACGACGAAAGAAGCCATGTTGATAGCAGCCAATTTGAAATTGCCCAAGACTACGACCCTAAAACAAAGGGAAATGGTCGTCGAAGAAATACTTTCCATGTTGGGTTTATTCGAATGTAGCGATACGAGAACGGAAAAACTCTCAGGAGGACAGAAAAAAAGACTCTCTATCGCTTTAGAACTAATAAACAATCCTAGTTTTTTTTTCCTAGACGAACCGACAAGGTATAAACAAAAAAAAAAAAAAATCCCTTTTGGGAAAATCCATAACTCATCATTATTTTCAATTAAAATTTTCTTTTTTTACGGCAGTGGACTTGATAATGTATCAACAATGCAATCGTTAAAATTACTCAGGAAATTAGCTAAACAAGGAAGGACGATAGTTTGCACCATTCATCAACCGAGTGCATCCATATTCGAGCTTTTTGACAACGTGTACTTTTTAGCTGCGGGAAAATGCATTTATCAGGGAACCACACAACAACTCCTACCATTTTTATCTTCCAAAGGTTTTCTCTGTCCTACATATCACAACCCGGCAGATTTTGGTAAGAAATTAAAAAATTAAAAAAATCAATCAAAATAAACAAAAAAAACCATTTTTCAACTTTTTTTTTTTTTTTTTTTTTCAATTTTAGTAATGGACATTGTCGACACCGACGAAAACAGCATTAAAATCATGTCGGAAGCAATTTCCAACGGGAAAATATGCCATTTTAATTTAGATCACGTGACCGATCAAATCAAACAATACAATTCGAACGAAACGAATGATGCTGCCGTAGAAGATGCATTGATGAAATCAACCCCCGAACAAAATAAAATTGAAAAAGTTTACGAATGGATCGCAAATGAAAAAACGAGTACAGAATATAAAAATTCTCACTGTTGCGATACTCAAGACTATCCGAGAAACAGTTGGGACCAATTCAGTATTTTAATGAAAAGAATGTTGAAACAAAGAAGTAGGAATACGGTAAGAGAAACTTAATCGCACTTGGAAAAATCCATCAATTTTCCATTAATAAATTATTATTATTATTATTATTATTATTATCGATTATTTCCAGGAATCCATGAAAATCCTTCTTTTGCATCACATATTTTGTGGCCTAATGGTCGGAGCTGTTTTTTACAACACAGCCAATGACGGTTATCAAATGTTTAACCATTTAAAATTTTGCGTCGGTTACATACTATTTCACACTTACACAAATGTTATGCTCCCAGTTTTAGTTTGTAAGTGATTGATTGATTGATTGATCGATTGATCGATTCCTGTTTTATTTTCCTCGATATTTATTTGTTTTTTTTTTTAATTTTCAGATCCGGCCGAAGTTAAACTTTTGAAAAAAGAATATTTCAACAGGTGGTACGGTTTAAATCCGTATTATTTTGCTTTGATGTTGACCAAGCTTCCGTTGCAAATTATTTTCGGAACTTTGTATGCCACAATTATTTACTTCATGGCGGGTTTACCCGCTCAACTATTTAGATTTTCCTTATTTTCCGTCATCGGAATATTGATTGTGTTGGTGTCGGATGGAGTCGGAATGGCCATCGGATCAATATTCAACGTGACGGTAAGTTGAATCTTTTGTCTTCTGCTTTTTGTACCAATCTCTATCTAAATTAATAAATTTCTCTTTTTGTTTTAATCAGAACGGTTCGGCTGTTGGTCCGGCAGTTGTGGCTCCGTTTTTAGGTCTGGCAGTTTACGGCTTTGATTTTGCAAGGGATATCCCCTGGTTCATATACGGCATCATGAAATTGAGTTTTATGAGATGTGGAGTCATAGCCACCGCTCTGGCACTTTTCGGATTCGGAAGAAAAACGTTCGAGTGCAATGCAATGTACTGCCATTTTAAAAAACCCGATTTGATACTTCATTTTTTAAATGTCGAATCCGTTTCTATTTGGAACGAAATTTTCACACTCTGCGTTCTTTTCGTATTTTTTAGATTATTAAATTATTTCGCGTTGAGAAGTCGACTCGTTGTAAAATAACATAATGTGTACACAATTCAAAAACAATTTTTTTTTTTATATATATATATATATACATAGAATGTACAGATGTAAAAAATAATATCGAAATAAATTTTTTACAATTTTTTCAAGAAAATCACCTATTTACGCCACTGATTTTCGAAAGAAAAAAAAAAAAAAAAAACAATTGAATCGGTCCGCATACCCGATTCAATAAATAAATACAAATTTCGACTTTTTTATCGCAGTTTAGTACCCGAAACCCAACAACCAACAACGATAATAACAAAACAAAATATTTAAACGTGTAAACAACAACAACAACAACAACAACAACAAAATTGTTCGATTGTAGTTTTAAAATCTAATACAAAAATTTACTTACTCGTAAAAAATATCACGGAGGAATTTCTCCATTCGTCACAGAGTCTAAAAGAGTTTGAATGAGGGAAATTCCAGAATGTTTTTTTTTCATGTGACTTTTATAATTGGTTTTCCTACTGAATGATTTATTGCAAATGTCGCATTTGAGCAGTAGTTTTTCCGAATGAGTAGTAGTCATGTGACTTTTAAAAGTCAATTTGTTTTTATACTTGAGTCCACAGAGCTCGCATTGAAGAAACGCATTTAAATTTACCTGAAACGTGAGATGAAATTAAAAATGGTGAATCGTAATAGCAAAAATATTTATATTAAAAAAAAATTTATTTTAAACTTACATGTACGTTTTTTTCGTGAACATCTCTGTTAAATTTTAAACTGAATTTTTTCTGACAAAATTTACACGAATGTTGTTTTTGTCCAACGTGCATAGTGGAAAAATGACGTTTCAAGGCATCGGATCTGGTAAAGCATTTAGAACATGCCGAACACTGATATCGATTATTATTATTATTATTATTATGACTCTTCATGTGTCTGTTTAAGTTTCCCCTCTCAAAGAACTTCTTTTCACACGTTGAACATTTAAATGACATCCTGTTTAAACTATGCTTCAAACTTTGATGCTTTTTAAAACTTTTTATTTTTTCAAAAATTTTACCACAGAAACATGTAAATGGTGGCTCTAAATTTGTTTTCTTTTCTCGTAATTCTTTTTTTTTCCCATTTTTTTTTCGAGACCTCTTATTATTGTCTTCTTTATTTTTAACGTTGCTTTTTATTTTTTTAACTGAATTTATCTTTTTATTAGGTGATGATAAATTTTTACAAAAGTCTGTCGAAGGTTTACCGAGTTTTTCAGATGATTTAAAATTATTTTCATTACCTAACAAATGTTGAATGTCAAGAGTTTTTAGGTGCTCAATATCATCATTTCCTATAAAGTCTGTAGACTTCTTAGAATCGATTAATTTTTTTGAATTTTCTAATTGTTTTCCAAAAAACTCACAAGTGTTTTCTTCCATTTCATTTTCATCACTTTTAGCACAATTACTTTCATTCAAAGTAATTTTATTAACATTTTCATTTGAGTCTACACTATTGTTCATGTCTTGAAAATTAGTATTTATATGTGTATGATTATTCTTTTCAATCGTTCTTACATGCTCCTTATTTAAGTTTTTTTTCTTAACCAGCTCTGAAATAACATTTCTGATTTCGGCTCTTTTCGGCTTTGAAATTTTTTTTAAGCATTTCTTTAAAACAAAGTCAATTTCTTTAAGATAAATTTTCATATTTTCTTCAATTTCACAAAAGTTTATTTGTAATTGAAAAGAATGAATCAAGTTGAGAGCTTTCAATCTATTTAATATTTTATCTAATTTTGTTGAAATTTTCTGTGCTACATCCATCTTTACTATTATGTATTTGCCCACCAACTCATCAAACCTAATCCTGGTTCATTTATGCTAGCAGTTAAAGAATAAGGCACTTTAGTTTCAACCGAATCACCATCAGAAGAATTTTCAGGGCCAACTGGTGATGTTTCTTCGAATGTTTCAGCAGTGACTCGAAACCTTATTGGTTCACCTGAGTTCATAAAAAAAAATGTTCATACAAAAATTTTGTGCAATAGAATCAAATTTGGTTGAAATTATTAAAAAAGTAGACATTCCTTACCAATGTCCATAAATAAATCATGCTTTTCCTCATCAACTTGATATTCCCAAACCCAAACTTGTTCTGCTTCATCAAATCGACTTGGATGTTGTAAGGCACTACTGGGAATTATAATATCATCGAAAAATCCCAAAGTAACTGAAATCAAATTGTTAAATCTTTAATGTATAAAGGAAAGGTTAAATTATAATAAAAAAATTATAAGATACATACCAACAACTCCCTCTTGGCTACAACTTTTAACTTTGCCGACGAGAATTTCTGTTAGAAAAGGTCTAAATACAACATATCTAAAACATACTCGCGTGTGAAAACACCCATCACCAGGTATAATATGAGAATCTCCTAATTCTGAAATGTCCCAGAGGGCAATTGACAATCCAACATTCATCACAACCTAAAACGATGAACATAATTTAAAAAAAAAAATAACTTACTTTATTTAAAAACTACTTTTCGTTAAAAAGTGCACTTTGTCCAACTTACCTTATTAGCTAACTTTTTATTAATTTCTTCGGATATTGCATCTTTCAAAGGTTTATGAAAGTTGCAAGGAGAAATTCGAATGTAATCTTTAATTTCAGCTAATACAAACATTACTTAAAATCATAATTTTATCATAAACTAAATCAGGCACAACTTTTCGCACGAGTGTATTAAAAGCAAATTAAAACTCCAAGTACTTTTTATAACCATAGACATAAATTGTAATTTAAAACTGAATCAAATACTCTATGGTAATTTTATTTCAAACGTGTTCCAAGACAGTAACAGTACGAACTACTAGTTTTATAAACTTTATAAATTTTCAAAATAAAAAATATTTTTTATCGTTGGAGTTTTTTCGTATTATGAAATTAAACTTGTAAGGCAAATATGAACAACTGCGATTGTAAAGAAGAATGTCAAATTGTGCAAGCCAAACCAGATCGTAAAGTTTTTAGACCAGTAAAATCATTAAATAAAATACCCGATGAAATAATTAATAATGAACATTTGCAAAGGTTGTCAAAACTTTTACCATCAAATTATAATTTTGAAATTCCAAAAACTATTTGGAGAATACTTGATTTGGGAGCAAAAAGAGTAGCGTTGCAAATGCCCGAAGGATTACTAATGTATGCCACCACCATTGCTGATATCATTGAAATAATTACAGAAGCTGATGTTATCATTATGGGTGATGTAACCTATGGGGCTTGCTGCATTGATGATTTTACTGCCAAAGCTCTCGATGTTGATCTTTTAGTGCATTACGGTCATAGTTGTTTAATTCCAATCGACAGAACATCTAGTGTTAAGTTTCTTTATGTTTTTGTGGATATAAAAATAGATCCAGAGCATTTTATTGAAACAATTAAATTTAATTTTAACATTGATCAAAAGCTTGCTTTTGTTAGCACAATTCAATTTGTTACTACGCTAAACACATCAGCTGAGAAATTAAGAGATATCGGTTACTCAGTAGTTATACCGCAAGTGAAACCATTATCATCCGGAGAAATTTTGGGATGCACAGCCCCATATTTAAACAATGTAGATGTCATAGTTTATTTAGGAGATGGACGATTTCATTTGGAATCAATCATGATAGCAAATCCAACTCTTAAAGCATATAGGTATGATCCATATCAGAAAAAATTTAGCGAAGAAGGCTACAGTCATGAATTAATGAAGGAAAATAGAGCGGCTGCAATAAGTAAAGCGAAGAATATGCAAACATACGGAGTAATTTTAGGAACTTTGGGAAGGCAGGGAAGCACTAAAATCCTAGATTATATGCTTGTAAGTCATTATTTAATTTACAATGTATTTCAAGTACCTGAGAAATTTCAGGAATAAAATTTTCTTTCTTTTTTTTATTTTAGGATCAAATTAAAAAACTATCAAAGACTTCGATAGTAATATTACTCTCTGAAATATTCCCTCACATATTGAATCGAATGCCACAAGTTGAAGCTTGGTGTCAAATTGCTTGTCCAAGATTATCCATCGATTGGGGTGAAGCATTTTCTAAACCTTTATTAACATCTTATGAATTTAATACCATGTTACATAATGCTGATTTGTTTTGGAAAGACAAAATTGATGTTCCATATCCGATGGATTATTATGCAAATAATAGTTTAGGACCGTGGACATCAAATCATAAACGAGTAAAATAAAACCGTTTTGCATATAAAAAGACTTTTAATTATTTATTCTCACCTGATACCTACAGCCGAGAAGGAGGTTTAAATTTAAACGAGATGGGTTTACATACATAAAAAAAATTATTGAGTCATCCTTTTTCCCTAAAATATTTTTTCCAGTATATTATCGATAAAAAAAAAAAAAAAAAAAACCTGATTCTATTTATAAATGAAAAATTAACGGTTTTCTCATTCGTTCATTGAAGGCCTCGAAAATATTTTGCGTTTGCGCATTTCACGTGGTTTTAGACTTATCGAACGCCAACAACGCTTAATGGGTTTAGTATAAAGTCATCCGTCCGATTCATACGTAAATTGACGGCGGGATTTAATCGTTCGAAGTTGTTGTTGTTGTTGTTTTTTTTTTCCCCCTTTTTTTTTTTTTCGTTGTTGTGATCAAACATCATAAGGGAAAATTGTGAAAAATACAAATTTAGTTATTTATTTTATCAATGATTAGGTAAAATATTATTTTAAAATATTTTATTGTACCTAAGTGAACAAACTACCGATCGATATGAGTCCAAGTTATTTAAAAAAAAAAAAAAAAAATTCTCCCCATATTTATTTATCACACTGAACGTGGAAATTTTTAAATTTCCAGATTTTCTATTTAAAAAAAAAAAATATATTTTCATTCATTTGAACTTATTCTATTACTAAATAATTTTATTAAAAACTCATCGTTTTATTAATTAAGTATTAAAATATTAATTATTAATCATTAATTTAAAATATGCAATCATTATTATTATTATGATCAAATCACTTTTTTAATTACTTTAATTATTTATCTGCATGACTTAATTAAAAAAAAAAAATTTTAATTTAAATTTAATTATTTTTCAAATCGTTAAAAAAAAATTACTATAATTGTCATAAATACGATTTAATAATATTTAAATAATAATAATAATAATAATAATAATAATAATAATAATAATAATAATAATAATAATAATAATAATAATAATAATAATAATAATAATAATAATAATAACAATC